AAAAAGCGGTACACAAAAGCTGCAACATAATAAAATACATTCTGCATTAATGGCTGGACAACAGCGGTGACAGCAGCAACAGCAAAAGGAGCACCAGCAGCAGCAACATCAGCATCCCCCGCAGCAACACAAAGCCGGCAGCAACACAAAAAGCAGCGGCAGATGGTCCGATGAAAAAACAAGGGACCAGAGGCAAATTGAGGAACAGATAACCGGTTAGACCCATTCAAAAATATATACCCATAGCCGGTCGAACCAGAAGATTGTCATTTACGCCGACTGTGACCTCTAGGCTCAGCTCAACCCCTTTCCCCCAGCAACTCTCCTCATTCCCTCGGCCACAAATTAGTCAAACAAAATCAAAAGTCAAGCCTGTCTGCAGATAAACATCGTTAATTATTCATAGTAAATCAAAGCGTTCAGCAAATGCCAAAGAGGCAACTAAACTTTGTAAATAAAACTGGGCGATTTAAGATGTTCTTCTTGTTTTTTGGGTAGGCCAGTTGTCATTGACAGCTGAAACTCAAAAAGTGTGTATAAGACAAGTTTTTCGATAAAAGGCTAATCTATCCGTTGGCCAAGAGAACTGACATTTAACGTGGATGGGAAAAATAATTGGTATAGGCTTTTGATTGATATGGTGCTCAAAAAGTGTTGTTTTATATCAGTCCATTAAATATAAAGGCATAAAATTGATTATAAATGTAAATTGGTGAAGCACACCACTACCAAATACATACGTTTTGGTTCTATTTAGTTTAATTGGAACAGTCAGTTCCCAGAAAACTCCAATTAAACTATTCTAACGAAGTCAGCATTTTCAAATTAAATTTCTTTTATCGCTCTGCTTTCGTCATCTGTTTCACACAAGTTATTATCCACCACAAAAACCAGTTTGATTTCTAAGCTCGATCAACGCCGTCTATTGAACTTAATTGAAATTAATTTCAAACGTTTTCAAGAGTAAATTACTTTTTTGCTGTGGATCTTTGGCATTCTTTTCGAGTGAGTTTTTTATACGTTGTGGATTGTCAACCAGAGCGTAACTTGCTCTGTCACGCAGCTTTTAAGTTTGCTTTTTTATCCACTGATTTAAGTTGTGTATATATAGAGTGCTATTTTTTATGGTCCTCTCTGTGATGTGCAAAGCTATAAATCGAATTCATGAGGCGTTAAGGTCTTCGAAAGTATTTTAGTTTGAACTTGAAATATTTATAACACATTTCGGTTCTTTTTCCCTCTTTTTTTTTCCACCAAGGCCATAAAAGTTAAATGGCAGTCGTTATAATAGATTTTTGGAGTGCTGCATGTGAGAAAATCGAAATGGAAACTTCTGAAAAAAGTTTCTGGCTGTATTTGCATTTATGATGGCTTCATTTGCATATGGAACATCTTCGAGTGTCAAGCAGATGGAAAATATTGCATACAGCATTGGAAATAAATTCAAACTTAAAGGAAAATATATTTATACAGATGTGAGATAAAGTATTGCAATTTCGATTTCAGTTTCTCACAACATTCCAGGGGAATTTACTTTCTTTAGTGTTCTTTATTTAAATCACCTCAAAAACACGAGTAAACCCATCTGTGACCTCGGACGAAAGTGGAAAACTTTGACAACAAAAGAGAAAGTTTAATTTTTAAGTCTATTTTGAGAAGCTGCGGGAATTCCAAATGAAATGGTTAACCAAAGTAATTAACGCACAAAAAGAAAGAAGACCAACAAAATAGGCGAAAACTAATCAATCGGTTATGTAACCAACGCCCCGCTGTTAACAATTAAAGTAAATTAAATGTGTGATTGACTTGGGTGCAGGTTTTTTTAATGATTTATTTTCCTTTCAAAATCATTTGATGCTCTTGATTTGAGCCGGGCGTGAGATGGCAGAAAACTTGGATATGTTTTTATGAATGAAATGTCATTGAATGGCAAAACTGGAGAAGAAAGATGTAAGCCATCGATCGCTTGGCCCTCAAAATGGATGGTAATGGCAAACTGGATAAGAGGATAGCACGCAAAAAATAGGTTTAATTTCATTACCAACTTCATATAAATTTAATGAAAATTTTAATTGAAGATTAATATTTATAACCATAAACTTTGAACCGTCGTATTTCCCAAATTAGCACATAAACCAACTTAAATTCTCTAAGATTCTGAACTTTAATCCGCAAAAAGCAACTACAATCTATCAAAAAATACCCAAGTACTTGAAGATTTCTTGTTATTATCATCTATCTATAATGATAATGTTTTATTTTAAACACTCATTAGCAAACAAGCGTAATCTTATCTAAAAAATGTTGAGTAAAAAGTTTGTCGCTTTAATTTAGCTTGTTCAAAAATAACTTAATAAATAAATGGGCTTGGGGCAGCTTATCAAAAGAAGGAAATACTACTGAAAAAATGTATAATCAAAAATCCAATGACCAAGTATGAAGTGAGTGGACTGTGGCTGCATTTCCTGCATTTCATACGCAGAGCAAAAAGGAAAATAAATCAAGTTTACATGAAAAATTATTTTGTTGTGGTGGCAAAAAGAAGATGATTGCTATGGGGGCTCCAAGGGGGAAATGCGAGGACCACAAGTGGCTGGAACTCCGCTTTTGACCATGATGGTGATGGTGATGACGATTACGATGACGATGATGATGACGTCGAAGCGAGAGCCTGCGAAATTGTATGTGCGAATTTGCACCATAATCGGCTTCATTTGTGCAGATTTACGTTTCAATGTTTAAGCACTCCGCTTTTCCGCAGCCTTTCCATAATTATATTTTCTTCATCAGTTTAAAAATCATTCCAAGAGATCAAAAGTTTAATTAAGAGTATTTTATGGAATTGATTTTTCTCACTTATTGAATGTTACTCTGATTATAGTATATAGTCTATAGTTTCTTTCATGTTCCAATTTATTTTATTTAAGCTTCTTAGTTTCAAATAGATTTGCTTATAAGCAATCCTTAAACAAGTGTATCTTCAAAAGTCGATACCCCAAACCCAATAAATTCGATGTGCATTTTCCCATCAGTTTCAAAAAGCTTTTAAAATAATTTTATACTTGTTTGTGTCATTTTTAATATTTGCTTGTTTAAAAAAAAAGTGCTTGTGCCCAGTAGCTACGCTTTTTGATGCCATAAAAATTTTTTTCAGATAACAGAAAGGCTATGAATGGCAGAACATCTCTCAAAGTGGTCAATAAATTAAAAGGATTTTTTGTTTAACACATTTAAAACATTAAAAAAAGGTGCTGCATACAATGCTTTTTTACCCCCCACTCTCACTTTGTTTTGTTTATTTTATTGAGTATGTAACTTCCCTCCTCTCGATGCGCTAGCAAAATAAAGCAAAAAATATATTTGAAATTGCTGAAATAAATTGACATTTCGCCTCATGTGAGGGTGAATTTCTTTCGTGTCGTGCTGAATAATATTTATTTTTTCAGGAGAAAACACAAACGAAATTTGTCGTTGCTCTTGGATAAATAAGTAAACACAAAAAAACGAGATTCAAATGAAGAACACGTGTGGTGAAGACATATACAATTTACAACCACAAAATAGAGTAAGTATAAATTCAAGGTAAAGAGTAATAAAATTGAGAAGAAAATTTGATAGAAAATAAAATTGTATTTTTTATTGAAACAGCCTTACAAGCATTAAAGTTGTTGAACCATGACCCAAATGATATGGTGAACATTATGCAAAAGGGGTTTTCCCATAAAGATAATTTTAATTGGTGTAGTTTATGAGCCACAAAAATGGTCTTCGCTTTCTGCACTAAAAAACCCAACTTCTGATAAGAAGACCCTCGCAAATGTATCTTTTTGCAAGCCAAAACTGTGACAATCTCCCTAATAAATAACCCCAAATTGCTAGCAATAAGTATGTGAGTTCGTTATATGACTGGCAGCTGACAGGCCAAAAAAAAACTTAATTAAAACTTGTAAAGTAAGCGACAAAAATACAGGTGGGCTAATTACGAGGTGGGTGAGAGGGTGCGAAAGAGGAAAAGAGAAAACAATGGGTTATCAAGTTGGTGGCAGGCTATATACGGTAGCAATCCAATAATTACTATGCAGGGCGGCATACGCAACGGACCTCTGCGATGCCATCATCATCGGGCTGTACGTCGAAAAAGATAAAAGATAATGATGATTCAGGCGGAAGAGGAAGAGGAAGGGCACTACTGAGGGGTGGATCCGCTTTAAAGTTGGACTGGTCTTTTTTGGCGGTACTGCACGAGTCGAAAAGTAAGCTCAAAAAGTGCTAACCACTCACTTCTATGCTACAAAGGCAAAAAATAAAAGAACACCTGACGCATAATGAAAGTGAAACAGTTGAGATGATTGGGGTAGATGAGATTAAGTGGGATTAAGAGTTAAGAAATGTAAAGGTAAAATTTAAGATACCTAATTGAAAAATATAGAGCAAGTATTTAATCTTTTCTATGATAGAAAGACCAAAGAAATATGGGAACACCTGACTCATAATGAAAGTGAAACAGTAGAGTTGATTGGGTTAGATGAGATTGAATGGGATTAACAGTTAAAAAATGTAAGGGTATATTTAAGATATCTTTTCTATGTTGCATTTACCAAAGAAAAAAGGAATATCTGACGCAAAATGAAAGGGAAACAATAAAGATGCACGTGGTAGATAAGAGTAGATGAGATGAAGTAGGGTAAACTTATAAAGGTAATAAAGAATACACCTTTTTAAATATATAAAAAGAGTATTTTATCAAAAAATATTAATTACGGAATTTAAGATACGAAATAAAGTGGTACAGATAAGAGCAAATGAACTTAAGTACTCTACGGATAATTTTTCCTAAAATATATATTGGTTACGAGAAAAAATCTGAAATACTAATCTTTATCATAGTTAATCTTTGATTTTTTAGAAAGAAAATATATGTAAAAAAACTTAGGGTTTCTTTTCCTTCCAGTTGAGTTGATTTCACCAATTTTTGTCAATAGTTTACTTTAGAAACTTACCTTTTCCGTACTGGATTGGAAGTAGTAGACCATCACGAACATCCAAATGATGCTCACGAATACGATCAATTTGATGTTGCGACGCATTTTGGACAGCTTCTGTTTATGTATATATATTTAACTCCTAATTGGGTTGAGGACGTATCACGTTCACTTCGATATTTATTTATTTACTTTTTGGTGTGGTTGTTTTGGCAATTGAATAATGCGGTTTTTCACTGGAGGCAGAACAAAAGCATTGAGATGTGTGTAAACAATATATATAAAATTAAATTTTCGTATCTGTTTCAATTGTTTTTGTTCTTTTTTTCCTTTGCACTATTTTTAATCAATTTCATCTTCACTCGATTCATTTGGCTTAATTGTGTTTGCGTTTTAATTGTTCAACTCTGTTCAGTTTATTTCAATTCGATTTAATTAGGCCTGTTCATGAATGCAAACCGATTATCTGGAGCTTTAAATGGTTTTGACATTTAATTCTCTCCTTTTCACAAATAAATGGCCCGCGGGGATTTTCTCGCAAATGTGGAGTGTTTTATTTAAAGTTATTAAGAGAGTTTTTGTGCTCACCGGATGTCATTATTATTAAAGTGGCGATTGTTTTTCAAGTGATAATGGAGTTTATCAATCCATAACCTTGAAAAGTATGGAATTTTGAAATTGAAAATTAAAACTTAAAACTCATATCTTTCTTAACTTTACATTAATGCCCAACTAAAATATCTAATAAGTTGCATTCTCTTTTTAATAGACCTTGAAATATTCAGTTTATAAACAACAGTTTGTTTGTATAATTTATCTAATCCAAGAGTCTTTATCAAAGGGTAAAAACCTCGAAACCTGATAAGACTTCCAGCACGTTGACAGCCTACTAAAATTTATTTCCAAAGTTTAACCATTCTCAGTTTCTTCAAAATTACATCACACACTTTTAATGGATGCTAATTAAAGACTACTAACTCCAAAAACGGTAACGTTTTATTTCTGGTCAGATGGTGGGAAAGGGAAAGTGAACCGCAGCTGTTGGCCAACTTGATTTAAGCGTTTTTCAATTGGGTCTCAGTTTGGGCATTACGCATACGCAGCGTGTTGCCATCATAGCGATAAGATAAGAATTCACTTCTTCTACTACAAATATTTATTGTAATGTTTGGATGCCAAAATTTGGTCTTGATTTACAACACAAATAGACCACAATTGACCACTGTCTTTTTAGATTATCGTTATTGTTTTATCGTTCTGCCATTCGCCATTCACTTGTTCTCATTATATTGCATTTACATTTACCGTTTTGTCGATTTAACGACTGTTGCTAACACGACTTTTGCTGGCTTTGGATTTCAAACGCTGCCCGTGGCAGCCGCGTTTTGCCACCAAAAAAAGCGTCGACTGTTGGGGCTCGCTTTTTGGGCCAGGCCAAGTCGAAAAACGACGGAAAATGGGAAATCCCGGAGAGGAGACGCGCGGCAAACGGCGTCGCATCGACAAATGGCCAAAAGCGCAGTGGTTGGCTATATTTTATTATATGCTGCCCCATTGAGGGAACCCTCGTATAAGAGTTGCGTTCGAGGCGGTTCGAGGCCCCGAACGCAACTTGTTCGAACCGCCCCATCTTCTATATCTTCTTCGCCGACTTGATTAAATTACGACTTTTGTTTTTGTTTGGTCAGGAGAGGGCTTTTGCAGCCAAGTTTAAGACAGCTTTTGCCTTGTGGTGCACCGAAAAAATGGTAATCAATCGAAACTTATTTAGGGTTAGCAATTCTTAAAAATAGGTATTATTTGGGGGACCATAAAAAAATATATATGACCAGGTATGGAACCTTTATAAGCATTCTAAATGGTTTATTTTTTATATTTTACCGTATTGTAATGGTATTTACATTGGAGTCAGCACATAATATTTATACTCAACTTATAAACCTAGGTATTTTTTATTAAGAGATGATTGTCTTATAAAATGCACCCATTTTTTTAAAGTGTACTTCTTCTAGTGGAACGGAGGTAAAGTTGATCGAAAGCAAGCAGAATTCGCGGTCTGCGGTGGCTTTTAGTTTTGTTTTGCGAATTTAAATTAGCACTCTTTGGATATCAAGTGTTTGCCTGTTGTGCATTATACTCATAAATTCATAATTCGGGCACACAAAACATTTTAGCATATCAAAAAGCTTTATAAGAATACTTCTACTATATTATAAGGCATTCCCACATACAAAATGTTCTTTACTGCAGGCAAAAAACAATGTAAATTTAGAATATGCAAAATCTAATTTTATTTTTGATTGTTTTGACGATAGCAAGTGTGACTTTAATTGTATTCTTTTTGTAGAATTTTAATATATATTGTTACGTGTAAAGCCACAAACATATCACATCAAATAAAATTAACACTTTAACACCATTAATAATTTAAATCATTGGCTTTATGCTATAAATCAATGGCTTTATATTTTCAAAGCTACAATTTAAAATAATTAATATTTCAAAAGTTTCTATTGGTTATTCAGTTTTTGTTTGTCTTAGCATAAATAAAACATTTGCAAACTCCAATTTATGGCTGTGGGCTCGCTTACTTTTTGCATTATTAAAATTAAGCAAAGTTTAATTTTATACGGCTTTTTCGCTTTTAATCCAATTCTCTCGGCTTGGTTTTTAAATGCATCTAATGAAATATTCATTTAGATTGCAGTAACAAATTGAATTATGCATATTTGCAACTTTTACCGGGCAACAATGGTCAGTTGGCTGGACTGTCTTTTTATTTTTCCAACTCTCTCACATGCAGCTGCTGCAAAAAAATATGTGCTTTATTTATAAATAGCGTATGTGGGGCAGTCCAAAAAGGGATGTAGGATAGATAGAGGAAGGATGGACAAGTGGGTTATTCTTCCAGTTCGTCCGCCCCACTCCGCCCCATTTAAATTGGCTTAAAAACCCAACGAACAGGCAACAAAGTCATGAATATGCACACATCCATCGGGCGAGCGGCGGGGATCTGAAGAATTCTCGAATAATTACACAAATACAAGTGCACAGTATCTACGTTTGGCTGTGTGCGTGCGGGTTTTCCATTAGGCGTAATTAGAGCATTTAGCATCGAGGAAAAAGTTAAGAAAACCCAACTAACAGCAGAAACTGACAGATTGGGTTGCATATGTATGTGGCACTCGGATACCGTTAGTCGGAGTTGCATGCCGCACATAGGAACAGACGTACATATATTTGCACAAACGCATCATTGCTCTTCTACCACTCAGACAATTAACTTAAAGTTGGCAAAAGCTGCAGACGGCAGCTGTGTTGGCTTCATTTTCATTAGGAACTAGATCATTATTAATAGATCCTAAGATTGAACCAAAAATTCTTCAACTTACAATTCTTCAAAAACTAAAAGATATTATACTATATAATACAGGAAGTTCTTTAATAACACCTTATATATTTTTCGATGTTGAAGTCTTATCATTTTCAAAAACTTTTAACATATCATTGTAGCATAGGCCATAATATCAATACTTCTCATATTCCTCTTAACTAAAAAATATTTAAAACTGCCTCAAATCCTTATTGGAACAAATTCTAACTGCTAAAATATTTATAAATTGCTATTAATTCTTCTTCTATTATGAATACATGATCGTAGGCTATCATCCCCGGTATAAATATTATAACATGTATATCATAGTCATCAAAAGCTGTAATCTAAGATATATAATTCTTACACCAGATTTGTAACTTTTAAAACCCAATCTATCTAAATCTATTTTTCGAAATGTATCTTTCGAGTGTTTTAGGAACCAGTTCCAAGGGGCTGCACCCAACACTTTGCGATTTTCGCAGCCACATCCTTGTCTCGAATCGACTTTCAGTTCAAGTACGATAATTAAAAGTTGGCTAAATGTTGCATGAGTTGCAGCTTCCTTGAGATGGTGCTGCCTGCGCCTCCCTTTGCCGCACTTTTAGCTACTGACTCGGGTCCTTTGGCTCCTGATGCCGCCCACTTCTTCCTCTTCTAGGTTTTTATGGCTGCCTGGCCACATCCACATCCATTTGATTGCACACCATTTGCCACTGGAGTGTGTGTGGGTGTGTGTACACGTTCGTGGGAGCCTCACCTCAGTGTTGAAGGCAGCTGGATCTCAACTGCATTGCACATTTAACTGTCGTCTCGTTTCCCTCAGCCGATATGTGAGTGTACACTTAGAGAAACAAGGGCGTAGAAGACTTAAAAAATATTTCTTCTTGGTTCAACAACTTTTAAACATTTTTTTAAATTTTTTGATAATACAAGTTATTATGACAATGGATAATAGTTTTTTTTAAACCCAGTCCTTGCAATAAAAAATGTCCTTTACTGCTATTTGTTTGTAAGGTTTAAAACCAACCAAAACCAGAAACCATATTTTTTACCCTTTTTCTCAAAGTGTATATAAAGAAAATATTTCTGTGTTCATATTCAGATTCTACATACCAAAGTTAAAAAAATAGATACTTTAAGCAAAGTAAGAAAATAAAGGTAATATTGTTATGATAGATATTGAAAAAATAATGGAAAGGAGGCCACTATTAAAATGTTTCTTCGGATCATTTCAGATTTTCTGAGCTAACATTATTATTTTCAGTGCATCTCTCTTTTATACCCCTTTCTTTCACACCCTCTGCCTTATAGAAATCAAAGTGTAAATGTATTTTGTCAAATGCTGGCGCAAAAGTTTCCTGTTCTCGCTGTCAGTTTCCTCGCCTTTATCGCACCCCCAATGCCACCCGGCGGAAATGTTGAAAATATTGCAAGGAGGCGTGATGCTGCCGCAAATTAATGCATAATTGCATTAGTCACTTCATTTGCGGCAAGTGCTAAAGGAAGTCTAGCTTGCAACCGCCGAAATTCGTTGCAATTTATATCAAGTGGATGGGATGGTAATTGTCAAATGTGGCAAAGAAAAGGTGGGGTGGTGAAAACAGGTAGAAATCTGCTTTATATCTTGATGACAGACGTTGCGAAAGGATATGATAAACGGAATTAGGCAATATGTTTTTGGGCGTGCAAGGACGAGATTTATTGCCTTTTGAAGAGGACTTAAGTATGTGGTAGCTAAGATAAAAGAGTTTCCTGATGATATTAGGCTGAGTAATGCAAGTGGTTCGTACTTGAGCCTAGAATTTAAGTAATTTTGAATTTCAAGGCATTAGTGTAAGCCGATTAGTTTGTATGTTATGGAAAGACTGATGGCTTAGTAGTTATTTAATGACACACATTTGTATTGTATTTCCATGACAGAAGTTGATTACAATTTATGATAGTCAAATGATACTTAATAATATCTAGATGTGGCTTAATGTTAATTGCTAAATACATCAATCTATATCTTACTATTAATTTAATTTGGGTACATTAAGGATTGATGTATTTTACCATTTTAACCTAGAATGATATCCTCTTAATCATAGGGCTAAAAAATGTTTTAAAATAAAACCAAAATACAAAACTATCTTTATACAAACATAACTTATAATGATGTATCTTTGTATCTTTAAACTACTATATAAACTTGAATTGATTTCCTTTGTCATACAAATATAGCTAATAATGAGGGTTTTTAGATACTAGAAGTATTCCAATATTTTTCTTAGGGGCTAAGCTCTCTTTCTCTTTGGGTTTGTTGCACTTGCGAAGCCGGCCTTGGTGCTCTCTCCCTTCGGATTCTCTCACCGTAACACCCTTTCTCTCACATTTTCTCTGAGTTTCTATATTTTTGAGGTAAGGGTGGCGTTCTCCCGCGACTAACAGTGGCCAAAACTTCGGATGGGTAACCCCGGCTCTCTCTCTCTCGCTCTTTTCCCATGGGGCTTCATAACAAACTGTCCATCAGCTGCTTTATCCGAATTATACGTAAATATATATCTCAACATACTATATATCTATATAGCACCCCTGTTGTTTTTGCTTTCGGCACGCGCCCCTTTCGACTTTGTTTGTCTGCCTTCGATTTTTAACAAACAAACTTCCCAAGTGCAAAATGCAAAATGCAGAATGCTAAATGCAAACTCAAACACAAACACAAACAAATGAAAATGCCTTAACATTGATTAGTTGCACATTTCGCTTACACTAAAAATACGATGTGAACACGGTTTTTTATCACTTCATTTATGAGTTATGGATTTATGATTTTTGACTATTGCTTGCGTTTTCACATATTTGTTGTTGGTTTTAAATGCACTTTGGTGTTTTTGGATTTGGTGTTTTGCTAGATTAGTTTGTACAAGGCGTGTGTACAAAAATATATATGATTAACTATGTGTAATTTGTTAACATCGAGTTATTTAATTAATTAATTTATCATTTAGTTATGTAGTTGCTACAACGCGGCGACTTTCGTTTCCCGTTTCGTTCGACAGACTGAACTTTTTTAGACAGTTGTCTGTTTTGTGTCTGTTTCGGGTTGTTTTCCTCCCTTCATTCTCTGTTTTTTGTTGTTTTTCCTTTTTTGGATGAAGTAACTTTTCTTCTTTTTTTTGTCGCGCATTTCCGTATTTTGATACCCTTTGGCTTCCTTCTCTTTGGCTCTCCCTCTCTTTTAGGGGGTGGTTTTACTCTGGGAGAGAACTCTCTCTCTATTCTGCTCACATCCCCTTTGCGCATGCGCAAACCTCCATTTGCGTATTTCAAATGCAAATACCGTTACAAGTGGGTTTTCGACCTTTGACAAGTGGAACAAGCTGTCACGCCTTCTAATGCATTTCAAAATTCTCTATTTCTTTAAAATGAAATCTGAAGGAATGCGTTTTTCGAAACCAGGAAGTAAATTCAAAACCTCTAATAGCAAAATCCCGGTTAATAAATATTTTGGTCCTTAAATAATATTTTAAAATCTTATTTAATAAAAAAAGTTGGAATATGGCTCGGATCAATTTAAAAAAAATTAAAGAACTTGGTTTTGTGGTATTGTATTTAATGAGTTAGTTAAGATAATGTTACAAGGTCATTAATTCCGAAATCGTAGTTCCACAAATCTTTTAAAACAATAACAAGCTATTATAATAAAAGCGTTTTTCTAATTTATGGATAGTTATGAACAGTTAATCCAGTTTAACTAAAAACAAAAAGGAAAAAGTATTCCTTCCTTATATATTCTTAGTTTAAATCCCCAGGTGAAACTTCCTAAAAGTAGTGTCTCACTTTCACTCTCAGGGTAACTTTCGATTTGCAGATTATAAAAATTCAAACCTACTCGTCCGATGACTGCCAATAAGGCTGGCGACATAAATTCATATTAGCATGCAGATATTCACACAAAAACACACAGAATAGAATACACAGAAATAACAGAACACAAATATATATCTCAAACACATATTGTCTATTGAAATTAATCGCTTAACCCTTTTGCATATGTCACGTTCCATTCCCCCAGCCGAAAATTCAAAAATCCCCGAAAGACAAAAGACAAAGCCATCTGGTTGGGTGGTAAAGTCTGTGTACCCAGCGAGGAAACTGAACCGAACTGACATTAAGCTCAAGGACGAGATCTTCCGCCCACTGCTGTGCCATTTGTATGGATTATACATGGGTAAATCATTAATATTTTTGTTTTTCTTAGCATTTTGACTTTCTGATGCCTCGCTGAAATTTACATAAAATGGGGTTTTTGTCGCCTGAGCTGGAAGTGTGTGTGCCATGAAAATTAATAAGGCAGGCTCCTCCCAACCCATCAGTTTTTATTTCCACCGTATCCTTTGTTGTTTATACAGCCGTCTGGGGGTATTTGATAAGATTTTGGCATCCTATTTTCCACGCTGATTATGCTGTGTCGTTGGGATGAGTTTGTATTTCTTATGAATTCGTGGGTACGAGTAATATTTCCTTCTGAAAAAGGGGTAATCGCTCTAGTGCATCAAAATTGGTGTTAAACATATTCAAGGTTTCTAAAATGTTAGGAAATACTATTAAATATTTTAAGATGGATTATTTATGGATATAGCAAGAAAGCAGCCTTATATATGTATATAAACTTTTGTTGTAATAATTTGTTAATGTGTATAAAAAAGTAATCTTTAAAAAAACTATATTTTAAAAGGAGGAAGCTAAAAATGACTTCATTAGTCAAAAAGTATGCTATAAAATGTTTGACCCTTGTTGAAAACAGTTGCCTTAGTATTTAAATAACTATATATTAATTAAAAAAAAGTATATTTCCGAAAAATTTATATTTTAATCTAACGCTTTTAAAAGTGATCTATATTATTATATATAGGTTGTTTATTTTTTTACTTTCCCTTAAGTAGCAGAAATACAATTTTGTAATGGAAATTCTATTGCCAAGCGGAAAGCAGACACCTGAAATATAAATCTTCCCCTGTCCATTCACTTTCCACATTCCGAGTGCCCCCAACTTTCGAACCCATCCCCATGAGTGAACTCGAATAGCCGAATGCATCTGAGGCGCTTCCTCGACCAGGTAAATTGCAATATTATGCTAGACTGCGAGCGGCGACGTAATCGCCCTGAGAAACTAGGAAAACGGGTTAATAATGCCATAAACAAAAAACGCGCAAAAAAGAGCAAAAGTAAAGACGACACTTTCGTGACTGGCCAGCCAGTCGGAGATGTTTGTTTGTTTGTTTGTTTGTCGGCTGGTTTGCCGCTGTTTGCGAGCCGAGCGGAAAGTGAAAGGCAGCCAACTTGGATGGCTTAGGCCAGGAAAAAAAATGAGTAGACAGCCAGCTGGCTTAGCCATGTGGCAAACACACAATGCCCCCATCTCATGTGCCTTTGTTGCTATTTTATTGTCGCGGGGCATGCCAAGGAATTAGTGTATGCCTTATCACAAGGTGGCACACCTGCACTGCAAAAAACATCTGAAATAATAGTGCAAAATTTCAAAAAGACCGTCAAAAAAAATTTATATTTATTTTCAAAACAAAATTTAAGCCAATTCTTAAAAATAAAATGTTTTCCAAAAAAAAAATTTTTTTTAAGGACTATTTAGATGAATTTTACCTTAACAAAGCAATCAAATATTCTACATATTTCAGCTTTAATCTTAAACAATTTATAAGAACACAGAGTATGACGTTCTCAAATCAAGTTTTTGTATACTCAATTTGAGTATGTACTGAATTTAAGTACAACATTTGGGGAAAAGAACTCATATCGAGAAATATTGGATTCAACTTAAGAAAAAAAAAACTAGAATTGATCCAAAATTCCCAATTTGAGGTAATGTGCTCTTCAATTCACAACTTAAGAATAAATATTTATATATTGAGTAACCGATAAACTTAAAAAAGTATTAAAAATTACTTCTTTTAAATCAGTTTGGAAATCGAGACGATATATGAGCGGCTTTTAGTTGGTTGCGTATATAGTCTATCTCTCACTATTATTACTGTTATAACTATAGATACTTGAATTTAGAAAATCTTTTTTTTTTGTGTACAAAGTCTGGAGTAACTGTTAGCAAGTGGCGGGTTCAATGACATAAGCAACTTCAACAGCAGCATTTTCCTCATTATCATCATTGTCGTGGGGAATGCGCTCGCAGAAACATATGCTAATAAATTTCTCATAAAAGCTCTTCACAATGCGAACGCATCACGCGCGACAAAAAGTAAATAAGTCGACTGCATTTAAGGAAAGTCGACCATTATGATACTTCGGATAAGGTAAAAAGTGTCTATGATATCTATGACTAACAGTTAAGTACTTTTTATAAGGCTTCAATCTTTATTCTTCGAATTTTAACTTAAAGGAAAAATATAATAACCAAAAAAGTACAGATCAATTTATCAATCTATGAGATTGACAAGAAAATAAATACTTTTTAATAACTTTAATCTTTATTGTACAGATTTGTAACTAAAAGAGAAATATAAAAACCAAAATAGAAATTAATTTTTTAAATTCTTTATTTACAAATGTACTGTCTGTGAAGATATTAAATAAATTTTTTAATTAACATATCTTTAATAAGGTATAAAGCCACAAAAACATCCACCTTTCTATGTTCATATAAGATGGATAAACCTGAGATTATCTTCTCGTGCATTTCATCATCCCACTCCCTTATTCTGCAAAATCCGCATTGAGTTATATTTCATGTCAAAATCGCCTCTCAAGTTATCCATCATGCTCACCTTCAAACGTATTTGCCTCATGATTTTCCACTGTGGATTTTCCACGAAATCAAGAGGGGGAAAAATAATAAACATAAATATTTTACAGCTGATTTTCCATCGTTTCGTTCGGATGTTGACACAATGTGCAGCCGGAAATAATTGCACTGTAATGGCTTAATTGGTATTTATGATTGCAGCTCCCTGTGTGAGATGATGTATTTCTGCACGTGGGATATCCAGATAATTGTGATTTCATTTATTGTCCGTGCACTTGAGGTGGCCAACGAGATTTAATTTAAAATGCTTTATGTGTACGCCCTTTATTAATATTGATATCAGGTCCCCTTTGTGGAAAAAAGATAAGAGAGGGAGTGCTGTTTTACATTTTATTCATACGAATTTAATTGAAGATTGGTAAAATGGAGTTAAAAAGGGGTTTATAAAAATGCATATATTTAATTGAAAATAGTTAAGTTAAAGTCCTTACTCTTCTGAAAATTTACCTGCAAATCCAGCTGCAACTATAATTTATCGACTAGCTCCTTTTTGGCTTTTGTTATAAATTTTCTTAGAAAACTAGCAGCATTTGCAATCGCAATTTGTCGTCATTATAGCCGCGTAGCTCGAAGTTTAGAGCTTTTGTGACTTTATTGGCAACAAATGGGCGTCCTTCGCTAGTTGGGCTCGTTAGCAGTTAAGGTGCAGTTTATAAATAATATATATGTAGATGCAGCCCCAGTATAAAAGTGCGGAATATTGCATTCCATAATGGCCAAGAGGCAGCGAAGCGTATTGATTTACGCCCTGTCACGTAGTCTTCGGCTGAAAATCCTGGCTGGCAGGACTCCGAAACTCGGCGATGATGGAACTCAAGTCCTCGACGGACACTTAATATCCCCTTTATACCCGGCACTCCTTTAATTTGAGCTGCGAAATAAAGTAATCTGTCTTTAAGTACGCTTTTTTCCCCCGGAACCCATTAGCATAATCGATGCCACTTTGTTTTCCCCGTCGCTGTGTGTTGATGTTTCAGTAGTCCCATTTTTACTCGGCATATGCCCGAAAGTAAATGAATTAATTAACCATGTCACGAGCGTGAAATTTCAACAAAAGGCAGCAAAAGCTGCAACCAAAGTGGGAACAATTGCAATGCGAAAATTTAATTAAGTTGCAGCCATCGGAGGAAAGGAACTTTTCTGCCCCAGGGTCTTTCAGGGAGGTCTTTAACCAGCGGTACCCAGTACATATAGATAGAGTTAATATTGCAATTAAGTTTTTCGTGCAAAAAGTTT